AAGAAAGTAATTTCAGCCTTATTTATATCTAATTTTATATATATTTTATGGCCCATTAATATGATAAAATCTTCTTTATGGATATATTATGAATTTTCACCAAAAAACATTTTACATTGTATTCGGGACTTATTATTCATTTTCACCGAATTGTTCCTTTGGATTTATGCATTAAAACTAATTATAATTTATTTATATTTTCATGAAAATTTATCAAACCTCAAAAAGAATTTATATCAGTATCAAATTAAAAATGCAATTGATGAATTCATTTACAATATAGATATGATCAAAACGCTAAACGGAATATTTTCTTTTCAAATTTTCTATTTATTAGCACAATTTATATTAGTAATAATATTCATATTTTCATTTGTTGATTTCATAAATAATGATTATCATTTAATATCATTTATGATCGTGCAGAAAGGTTTTAAATTCATCGCTGTTGCGATTGTTGCAAGTTTTGTTAATGGGAAATATACTGAGATGGGAAATGCCCTTCTTCACAGAACAATCTGCTACAATGATGTTATCGTCTGCTACAGAGTATTCTGTGTTCAATCCTATACTGAATCAAATTTATTGACCTGTGGGAATGTTTTTGTTGTAGATTTTAACCAAGTATTATCATCCATTGGTTTGTTTATTACCTATTTTAGCATTCCTTTACAGCTTGGCTTGAAACTATCTCACCATGTAGAAAATCCTCAAGAAAATTAATGATTAAATAAAATCTTTATTAAAAAAAGAAACAACCGCTATAAGAAAGAATACTCTTCAAAAACTTGTCAATTTTCTCTCATCTTGAAGATAAAGGTTCTCTGGCCGGCAAAAGGCACTTCGGCCAGTTAAAGTTTTATTTTTTCAACGTTTCATCGCGTGAGAACGCTCTTTCCACCTCAGAACAATTTTTAACACCTTGCCAAATGCTTTATTTTTATTTCTCCTGGCAAAAACTAAATATATTTGTTGAAGCGTTAAGAAAAATAAAACTTTAACTGGCTGAAGTGTCCATTTTTTAAAGAATAATTTTTCTCTTATTAACTCTCCTGGAACTGTTTTCTCTAAGACTCTCATATAAGATTTGCTGCATTAAAAATATTAATTCAGTTTCTTTAATCTGATGGTTGTAACTATTGCTTAATTATTTGTATGTTTGACGCCCAACCTTTCAACCAAATTGCTAAAATAACATTGTCTCCTTAACCATGAATAATAAACAAAATACAATTTTTTTCCATATTGAAAATAATTTGTTCCTCAATTTATAAAAATTCTGATATTTTTGTTTACAATAGAAACTCTAATATTCCAGCAGTTTAAACATCTAAAGCGATGCCCGCTGCTTTCTTATTGGCTGACCAACCTTGACCATCTACTCCGGGATATATAGGGATAAGGAACTCATGCCAGGAAGAAGAAGAACGAAGCTACCTGGTGTACTACAAGGAAACGCGAGCTGCTTTCTCAAGAGATCGGATTGCTGTTTACTGCCGAAACCGGTGTACTTCGTGGAAGACTCGAGAAGGTTCTACCTACTTCTGCCTCCTGTTCTGCTTCTGATTTCTTTCATTGTGCTGCAGTTGGTGAGTTTATAATTGCTGTTTGCTTTGTTGTTGTTTTATTTTTCACTTTTCTGTAATTCTTTTATTGATTAGGCTTAAATAAAGTCCTAAATATCCATTATTTCCACAGAAGTTATTCTTTGTCAACCAACAACTCAACAATATTTTAAAATATTTAATTTTTTTCTCATTTTTTTTACATATACGTGTTATTATACGTAGTTATTATACATACAGTATTATATGTAATATTCATAATGCCTTTTAATATTTTTGCCGTATTATATTATCTCATTTGAGCTCCAACTAATTCGCTCCCACAAATTATTTTCCTTAAATATCATTTAAGTCTTACTACACTTTCACAACCCCCCTGATGATAATGCAAGTGAAAAGGTGTAAAGTGAAGTAATAATACTCTCATCCATCGGGGCATATCTGTCGTATTTATATGTTGTATATACAATGTTGTACACAGAATCACCAGAATATGTAATTAAAAATGGCGTCAAATAAAAGGTACCACCGGGAGACGAAGGGCGGCACCCAGAAAGGTCGTGGACATAGTCCCAGTAACTCAGGGCAAGGATGTAAATATATCAGTCAATGCCAGCCCTTGATTGGACAACATAGTCCACCCTCTCTGACGTCACTATCAGCACATAGTATGATTTTAACAAGTCCAGAAGAAAGGAGAGAATGAGTAGTAGACAGTACAGTAGCAACAGAGGCAGAGAAGAATCAAGAGTTATGTAATTAGGTCGCCATGTTGACCAGAGTTCCCAGGACGCCCCCATAGTCCCATCTCACCTTACTGGGTGCCACCCTTAACATATGTTTGCCTAATTTCCATGTACTCTTTTTTTTACAGAAATATTTACATGCCAGTATTTTGGATTAATATTTTTATAAATATATTTTTTCTTATTCTTACTGAGAAGATGGGCATCGCAGTCAAGATCCATCGCAGTCATTCACTCAACTCAGGCAATTTCAAGGTTTAATGTACTGGGGCGGGTATCTCGGGGGTTGGGTGAAAAAGCTGCCATCTATTTAAACTACACGTTGTATATTGATTTTGAAACAAATGGATTGCAAAAAATAATTAAATCAAATACCTAAACACTTATATAATACAATTTTTGCCATCACACCCACTTTTTGCCTGTGGTTTATGTATTACTTCTGTATTGCTATTCTATGGCACTTCTACTATTTATTATTGATGTTTTTTCAGTATGAAGGGAATTGCACTCGGGGGAATTCTCGGGCGAAGCCGGATCATTTGTCTAGTATTCTTATAAAAATTCGAAACTATTATAGATGCTTATGATTGTTTTTAAAATAAACAATTTTACGCGTCTATAATAGTTTCGAATTTTCATAACAGATGGCGCGCTAATACATATAGTTAATATAAACAATAAAAAAAGAGGAAAGTTCAAAAGTATTTATCATAACCTTTATCTGTAAAAATGAAGGTGACCTCTCTCGTCAAAACAGACGCTAAAACCAGGCTGACATCTATTGATTGCCTCCACAAGCCAGAGAACTCGGGTCGGACATAGATTTGAACATTTTAAAAGCGCCTACCTGGAAAACATGGTTTCGGGATAATTGACCTCGTCAATCTTAAGAATTCTCCAAAAAGGTCTTCAGCAGGTAAAGTAATTAGGACAATTCTATGGTCAAAATATAGTTTGACATTTTCCGGGAGGATATTGATCGATAAAATTAAAGGTCACTTCTTCTGTCAAAATAGACGCTAAAAACTGAACGTCATCTATTTATCTCTACAGACAAGGACCATTAGCAACAAACCATGTTCTCCAGGTAGGAACTTCTCAATTTTCCAAAGCTAGTTTTGTTACCGACTCGAGTCTGCTAGATTACTGAGACGGTCAGTAAGTGACACTTAGTTTTTAGTGTCTATTTAAACTTATAGATTTAGTAGATGTTTGAAAATTAATAACTTTGGCCTTTTTAAATTTCAAAAAAAAATATTTTTATTTAAAACTGACAAATTTATAGATTGGTTCTATTTAATCTATACTAGCAAAAAACTCTATTAACAAAGGAATAAGCAACAACAACAACAACAACAAGAACTATTAACACATAATATTATATTTAATTTAAAAATATACCATTCTGTAAACTATTATTACACTTTGAAAATGGAGAAAATGGACAAGACGAGAATGTTTCTTTTAAACATCAATCAAATTTTTACTGTCCCTACTGCGATAAAAAATATACTGGGAGGGCTTAGCTCACTAGTGATGAACCCTCCCAGCGGTTTAGCCAATTTAATCTACCAGACCGCTTATTTTTAGAGCTCTAATATTGTATTGGATCTTTCTGCTTATATATGCTACACTGAAGGGTGGAATCTCAGAAATGGTATTTAAGCAAAGCAAATTTAGGACAGTAGAATTACATATAAATATTTGTATCGAGCAATGTTCTTCCTCAAACAAAAAGGACAAAGCCAGTTAGGCATATTTAATATGAATCAATAACACGCCATCTATATACAGCAAATGGAAACATTAAGACGCGAATGTTTCTTTTTCCTCGCAGCAAGGTCAGTAAAAGATTGATTGAGGTGTAAAAGAAACCTTCCCTTTCCTAGTAATCAAGACAATTGACAATTTGAACAATTTTATTGATTCTTATAATTAAGTGTTACAGTGGAAAAAATCAAATAAAAAAACATATATAAAAAGAGAGTAAATAAGGGGAGGTAAAATGTAGGGTTTCCCCACCTTGTTTATATGTACTAATTTCTTCAGCAAGGAAGGTTTCCCCACCTTGTTTA